CAGGGTTCTGATGCGGCGTATGTTGTACTCCGGAGCATTCTCGACGACGAATCCGTCCCGCACGGGCCCAGTAGGCTTGGTGGTTGGTTTCCTTGCAGAGATCCATCCGCTGTCGTTCGTTGCACCCATGACTGACGAACGATCGCAAGTGCTGTGTGGTGTGGGAGTAATGGTGTGGCGTCTTATGGGTATGATCTAGACTTTGGCGGTGTCTGCGGGGCAAAAGAAATCAAGAATAACCCGACTTCTAGAGCACCTTATCGCCTCTAACACATGCAGCTGGCACGGTGTGAGGATCTGCAGTCCTCCAAGATGTCCTAGCTCGAGTGGGATGGGGACCGCAGTCCCAAGTATTTCGAACAAATTTTCGGGGAGTGGGGCGTTCAAAAGCAACAAGCGGGAAATAAATAACAAACAACCCGCTGCCTATTTTCGAGACAACTGGTCTCCGTGGATCTTGTCCCGCCCAACTAGAAGCGTCCGCGTCCATAGATCTACGGAGATCGAACATAAAGCTTCTTGGAGCTTCACCAGCGCTGTTAGCTTGCCCAGCTCCGGCGGGATCGGCCCTGCCAACAGACAAGCAAAACAAATACTCCATTATTTGGGGGGGGGACTACCAATACGTTTTATGTTCGATCTCCGTAGATTTATGGACGCGGACGCCTACGCGTCCACGAAACTTCAGAACTGGCGGGACAACTTTTATTCCGCCAAGTACATATGCGGCATTCATGCTCAATTTCATGCCTCACCGGATAGCTGGTTGTCCCCTAGGTCGAGCTTCACCAGCGCTGTTAGCTTGCCCAGCTCCGGCGGGATGGGCCCTGCGAACAGACAAGCAACACAAATACTCCATTATTTGGGGGGGGGGACTACTAAAAAGTTTCAGGTTCGACCTCCGTAGATCAATGGACGCGGGCGTTGGCGTCCACTTACGTAGGTATACACACATATTTATTTATTTTTGTCTTCCCGCTCTTAATCTGTCCTGCCCCTGAACTTTCGACGGCAGGTCCCATTCCGCCGGAGCTGGGCAAGCTCGCAGCGCTGGTAAAGCTCGTACTGTGGGGCAACCAGCTATCCGGTGAGGCATGAAATTGAGCATGAATGCCGCATATGTACTTGGCGGCATAAAAGTTATCCCGCTAGTTCTGAAGTTTCGTGGACGCGTAGGCGTACGCGTCCACGAAACTTCAGAACTGGCGGGATAACTTTTATTCCGCCAAGTACATATGCGGCATTCATGCTCAATTTCATGCCTCACCGGATAGCTGGTTGTTCCACAGTCGGAGCTCCACCAGCGCTGTTAGCTTGTCCAGCTCCGGCGGGATAGGCCCTGCGAACAGACAAGCAACACAAATACTCCATTATTTGGGGGGAGACTTCCAAGACGTTTTATGTTCGATCTCCGTAGATCTATGGACGCGGGCGCCTACGCGTCCACGAAACTTTTGTACGGGACCAATGTTCTAGAAAGCGGGGGGTTGTTTTATTTTGTCCCGCTGAGCTACTCCGTTCCGTCCGTCCGCTTGCAGGCCCAAT